TCGTGCAGTTGGCTATGGTATTTATGTCCTAAGAAAATGCAAACGTCTGATATCTATCTTACAGGCCTCTGTCTACTGACAAACACTCATCTCTTCTCCCAAAACTCCCTCACCTGATCTTGAAACACACCAATGGGATTTAAGGACATGCGTGCCTAAGAAAGAGGTTAAAAGACCAACAAATTCTTTGCTTCACTCTAAACAACTTTGTTACTACATCAGATGCAAACAGGGAGAGGTTGTCAGGTAATGTCATTCTACCACATTTGAAAGGTCCGTTTTATCTCATACCCAGGGCAGCCTGCTGGGGACAAAGGGTCATTTTCACAGTCGCAATTGCTGCCCATCACCGGAGTGACCTAGAGTGTATTCCAGAAGATTTGGTAAGATTGTGGCTCGCCAGTTAACTCCGGAGAGCCTCTGTCCTTGGATTAACTCCACTAGGCATGAAACAAGGCAGAAAATTAACTGTTCCTTCCCCCCCCCCCCCTTCTGCTGGAGAACTTTATACATAGCTACACCCCTGTGTGACAACTAGAAATATTTTTTCTTTTTAAAACTGAACCAATTCAAAAAAATGTGGAAGAAATAAATTCAAGTGTGTGAAAGCATAGGGAGGCAAAAGGAAATAATTCTATTATATTTATTTTTCAACAAGGGCTTCCATCTGTTTCTAATTCACACAGATTATTGACACATCTGGATGTTTGGCCTTAGGAATTGCAAGTTGCTGCTGTGGCATTTATTTTTTGACTCAGCTCTTCAGACCACCCTGGAACTCATGCAACCAGTTTGGAGAGACGTTTGTGATATTTTACAAGAAGTTACCTCTCTCCCGGCATTTCAAAAACCAGTGTCAATGGGATTCTGTCATCTTGTACTTTATAAATTGTGGCTTTGCATTTCTGACACCTGCAGGAAAATGAGGCCAAAGCCAGTTGCCTAAATGGCTTGACAATGACAAATGATAGCAGCAGATAAGGCTGTCAAGGGGACACTGGAGATGGGTGTCGGGTTAACAAGTTAGATCTGCTGTAGGGGACCTTGGATTTCAGCTGAGACCTACTAGTTAAGGGGTGAACGGCTGATGAAAATGCTGCTTTAATATCTCCTGGTGGGAGTATACAGTCTAATGAGGAAGAAAGGATTTTCAACAAGTAACATTGACTAACACTTTACCTCTTGGATGGATTTCTTTTATAATCAGGAACTAACTTTTCTCCCTATGTGGTCCGACTGTTGTAATTTATTCCAAGGATATGAACAATGGAGTTATGGGGTAGACCTTTAAGATTCTAGAAAGCAAAGACATGATGAAACACTTATTTCATGGCAAATATTCATTAAATGGATTAGCATGATTTTATTAAAAGCAACAGGAGGCTATACATCAAAATCCTGATGCAAACAGGCAAAACAAAAACAAAATTCTTCTGCAGTACTTTAGTCTAAAGGTACAATAGAAATAATTTAGTACACAATGTGGTTTGATTAGTTGTATTGAGAGAAACTTGCTGGAGTTTTCAGGGTAGTTTTTTGTTTGTTTGTTTGTTTTGTTTCATTTTGCTGTCACAGCAAACCTTAACATTCTGCCTCATAGGAGATAAAGTCTTCCAGATTGGGTGATACTGCATGGCAGATTGACATAAGAAAAAAAAATGACGTTTGGCTTTAGCTTTCCATCAAGGCAATACTGCACCTCACTTTGGAGAAAAATGAACACATTTTGAAAGCCTCTGATACCTCCTAGAAATAAACTTACCTAACGTGCTGTCGCTGGACTTTATTTTCTTATATCCTCACAAAATAAAAACACTGAATGTATACCATCCCTGAGATAAACAATAAAATATACCCATGGGTCAACCTATTTTTTTTATAATGTGGGATGGTGGTTTACTTCTTACATTTTCGTAGAGGTGACAGAGAAGGAATCAGAATTAGGAGACCAAAGACCATGGTAAAAGAGATATGTGCTTAGCATGTTCCATTTCAGTAAAGTCCTCTATCTTTTTAAAAAAGATTTATTTACTTATTTGGAAGAATTACACAGAGAGAGGAGAGGCAGAGAGTGAGAGGTCTTCCACCCGCTGGTTCACTCCCCAATTGGCGGCAATGGTTAGAACTGTGCCGATCCGAAGCCAGGAGCTTCTTCCGGGTCTCCCACATGGGTGCAGGGGCCCAAGGACTTGGGTAATCCTCTACTGCTTTCCCAGGCCATAGCAGAGAGCTGGATCAGAAGTGGAGCAGCCAGGATACGAACCAACGCCCATATGGGACGCCGGCACTGCAGGCGGCGGCTGTATCCGCTACACCACAGCGCCGCCCTGAGTCCTCTATTTTTAAAAGGCTGTTAAATGTCCGCTGGGATCAATAAATGGCCTCTGGGAGTGGTCTCACTGCAACTAAATAGGATGTCACCATGGTATTGTGCAGTAGTGACCTGAACGATTTTAACACGGAATCACCTCCAGTCCCATCTGTAGCGCTGTCCTTCCAAGGCTCGGGTCCCATGATTGCATGAGTCACACAAAGCTACCCTGGACCATCTCTTGTTACACCTTGGTGTCTAGCTCTGGCTTAAACACCAGGGGACCCTTAAGAGACGCTTTGCTGCTGGAAGTCAGGAGCATTGCCTCTAAGAGAAGCCTCCCTTTTCTTCTAAAGAGGGTTTGTCAAAGCTATTTTAAGGGAATAATAATAGCAGGATGGTTTGGGATTGCCCTGTGAGAGGGAAGAATTTTGGAGACGCTGTCAGGGTACTTAATGATAGACTTTTGGAAATGCTCACGGGTACCCACAACTGATTAGTGAAGTAATGGGACTGCCCCCTTGAGATACTTTGGAGCGGTGTCTGGAAGTCTAAGTGATTTTGTTCCAGGTGGTTCTTCTGCTCAGTCTGAATGCCCTAAAGACCACCATTCCTTAAATGTTCATCTAAGGGAACCTGTTTCTCTTTCGAGGAACCTTTCCTTGGTCTGTTGTAGGTTCTACTGGAGCCGTAAACACAAAGCTACAGAAGAGCAGGGCCCGGAGAGTATCAGAAGGGAACCAAGTCAGTGCAGATGGAAGAACAGAGCAAGAGGGAAGTAGAGGCAAGGATGGGAAGTCGGCTGGATCGGGTTCTTTCTTCGGGTTCAGTCTCCGTGCTGTGCCACCTACCCAAATCACTCTCTTCCTCCATCACTTTTGACCGGTAATGGGAAGTGACAGGGGTGTGTCTTGGGGCAAAAGCCTCAGTGTGCTTGCGATGCAGTCCTGCGTGCTAGAGCTGGAAGGTGACCTTAGGGGGCTCCGGTGTCTATAGGCGTGTGTCTATAGGAGGAATCGAGGCTCAGCCACCACAGGCCTGAGGGGAGATCTCTCAGCGTAACCCAGAGCAACCGACTTTGCTTTTTCTCATCTCGAGTATGAGGGCGTAATCATCCCAACTATCCTGTACATTGGAAATCTTGTCTCGGGGCCGGTGCTGTGGCGTAGCAGGTTAAGCTTCGGCCTGCGGTGCTGGCATCCCCTATGGGCACCTGTTCAAGTTCTGGCTGCTCCTCTTCCTGTCCAGCTCCCTGCTATGGCCTGGGAAAGCAGTAGAAGATGGCCCAAGTCCTTGGGCCCCTGCACCCACGTGGGAGACCTGGAAGAAGCTCCTGGCTCCTGGCTTCAGATTGGCCCAGCTCCAGCTGTTGTGGCCATTTGGGGAATGAACCAGAGGGTGGAAGACCTCTCTCTCTGTCTCTTCTCTCTGCTCTGTCTGTAACTCTGCCTCTCAAATAAATTATTTATTTTTAAAAGATTTTTAAAAATATTTAAAATTAAATATTGAAAAAAAAAAAAGAAAATCTGTCTCTGGGTATTCACTGAGCATGCGCGGTGTGCTCCACACTGAGCTTGAGCACTGGTGACAGGGAAGGCACGCACTACACACATCTCCTCGACAGACAAACTCAGCACGCGTCAAGCTCCTGTTTAGAGTGGCATAAGCCAGGGCGCACATGGATGGCCGCCAGATGAAGTCGATGGGTCAGCGTTCAGGAAAGGGAAGGGCCTTGTCTGTGCTCCCTTCTGGGGTTACCAGCCTGGGTGGAATTCGTAGAGGAATGATGTCCAGCCTTTGTCCTTGACGGGAATGCGGCCTGTCGCATACTGATGGCGAGGAGATCCTGGGGAACCGGGGGAATTTGCTGCCTCCAGGCATCCCAGAGGACCTGTTGCTCAGAAGGATTTGGAGTCTTGAGGTGATTACGGCGAATTACTTGAATCATAAGGAAGGACTTTTCTGACTGTTCTCATTTCCTTCTTCCTTTTCTGTTTTCTCTTGATCATCTTGTGGCTCAAGACTTTCCAGAAGGTCTGTTCTGATTTCACAATCTATTGTCCGTCTCCTTTCCCAATGCTGTCTTTCCTTTTTTTTTTTTTTTTAACTGGGGGATCACAGTCAGCTTTGATCTCTCTGTGATTCATTCATTTCCTTTACCAGCAAATATTAAATGAGCCACTATTTTATCGGGTTTAATCATTATATGATTTTCTGTTTTCTTTTTGTCTAATATTTAAGTTGCTTTCAGTTATGTTTTGAAATGACAATGCTTCTTTTAAATCATTCTAATAGAATATAATATGTTATTTATTAACTAGGAAAAGTTTCTATTCCATATCATAAGGAGCATTTTACCATTAACATTCTTGTTTTCCTGGGTCAAGGAATGAGTACTTCAAAGTTATTCAGAAATTTGTAACTCTTTGCTTCTCTTTGTAAATTTACTTTGTTACATAAATACATATGAATATTTATTATAGTTTTTTCCATATATATTGTATAATGTATACTCCCTAAATATTTATTATAGTTTTCCCATTAAATAAGTAAATGTGTATTTTATTTGCTAACATTACTTTGGCTATTGTTATGGAAAACTTCTAAAGTCCAAATTTTGAACCTCCAAGTTTGATCTCCAGTGCTGATAAAGATGATAATTCTGTACCCATTATGTGACTCAGTGTCAACCTCTCCTTTGAGATGTGGTGCAAATCCCTCGCCCTGTGTGAGGCAGGAGACTCAGTGTTTGTGAGAGACTTGGGGAGCTGAGGAGACAGGACACGGCCAGTTCTCCTGGTCGCTTCTGGTCCTGGAGTCCCACCTCTGCCGATTAGCTCCATTTCTGGTTTGCTCACGTCTGCTGTCATCTCTTTCCCATAGCGTGGACCCCACATAGCTCACGGTCCAAGTCCTTCTACTCCGCATTCCAAGGCTGTGGGTGCAGCATTCATCTACTGGCGCTTTGGGGGCAGTGAAATTGCTTAATTCATCAAGAGAAGTTTAAAGTAAAGCATTGGGGCAGACATTTGGTGTGATAGCTAATATGTCACTTAGGATTCCTGCATCTCATATGGAGTCCTGGCTCTTGTTCCTGTTCCAGCTTTTTACTAATGCACACCCTGGGAGGCAGAAAATGATGGCTCAAGTATTTGGATTGCTGCCACTCACAAAGGAGATCTGGATGGAGTTCTCTGGGCTCCTGGCTTGGGCCTCGTCCAGCCTCAGATTTTGTGGATGTATACGGATTCAGCCAGCAGCAAACGGATGCGCTCTCTCTCTCTGTCTCTCTATCTTTCCAATACAGAAATATAAATTTTCCAAAGTCATCATATCATTAAATCTGAATAGAGAACATTGCAGCTTTCAAAAATCTTTGGTCTTTGAGAACTTCTCACTATTGACTTTTTTTCTGCAGGCTGCCTGGAGTGTTATACAGATGCTTTTTAATTTATGATGGCATTCCTGAAAATATCACAAGTAAAAAATGCATTTTGTAAACCTAAGCTATTGAGCATAAGAACTTAGCAACACAGCACACTGCAGAGTCACGGTCATTTCCCCGTGGGATCCCGTGGCCAAATGGGATTGCGTGCTCATGGCTGCTGCCCAGCATCAGGACAAAGCACTGCACCACAATGCACTTGCGTGGGAAAAGATCCGACTGTAGGATTCGCAAGGTATGGCTTCTACTGAATGTGCATTGCTTTCGCGCTGTTGTAAAGTCAAAAGCTCCTAAGCCGAACCATCACCAGTCAGGACCATCTGTACTCTGCTGAATTCCACTGCGGCCCTCCTACCCCCCCACCCCAAGTTCTCTCTGCTCTCAACTCCATCTCCTCAAACCTGTTCTGTTGTTGCTGTTGTTGTAAAATATGTGTAATTATCTCATTAACCTCTGCTTCCTATCAGGGAGGGCATCACTTTGGAATCTCAGCACTCGTAGGGTTTCATCTATATTCCCAACAAGGACATTTTTCCCCCGATGAAGAACACCAGCACTCACTGTAAATCCTCTGTGTCAAACACCTTGCATCTTTCCTACCAAAGTACATGAATGTAAACCAGAGGTCGCTGCACTTTCTTTAAAGCAAACCTTTTGCTAGTCTCGGTATTTTAAGTGTCTTGCTTGTCATGTTTCATTTAAAAATATTTTAGCACTTTATCTTACATTAAAAAGTCTCACAAAATTATAACAGCTGTGCACATATCTATGTATATATAAGTTGTGAAATTTTCTACCAATCAGTGTAATTGAAAGCCATAATTCCACATCAGTCCTTACACAAATTATTTGCCATGCATTGTTTCCAAATCCTTTACTCCATGACTGCACTACACTGTATTCCTTTTCCCCCCACTTGGTGACTGGAAGTTATATATTCCGTTTCTGCTTTTTATATCTAGGCTCAAGATATGAAAAATATATTTTTAAGTCTAGCTGTCTATCAATACTAGGAGTGAGAAAAGCAGGGATTCTCCCTAGGTTAAATTTCTCCCTGAGCAATTTAACACACTTCTTCAATTCTCAGATGCTATGGAAATGCAGTGGTTCTTCAGTGTCTGGGAGATGGGTTCTGGGACCCCCTTAGACACCAGAATCTATGTAGGCTCATGACTCTTGTATAAAATGGCATAGTATACCCACCCTTCCACATACTTTAAATCATCTTTAGATTACTTATAAGATGTAACATCACCAAAGTGCTAAGTAAATAGGTGCTTAATTAAAAGAAGAAAATGTCTGTACATGTTCAGTCCAGATGCAATTCTTCCTGTAATATTTCCTCTTGGCACTTGATTGAATTCATGGCTGGGAAGTTCATGTGTACAGAGGCCAACTGGAATCTAAAGCCTTAATTCCAGATTATGATTATTTTGTATCACACACCCCTTCACACTTTTCCAGCAACTGTGCTTTGTAACGTGGTTTCCTTACCAATTGTTTAGACTTAGCTATAAGTTTCACCCACTCTGTTGGTCCCAATTCTTTCATTTATGAGATATTATTTTCTTGTCTTGAATTCTTTGTTTCAGAAAGAAGAGAAAGCCTCTGTGTTATGTCTGTATTGAGAATCCAAAGTACATCAAGGTCATCAGTGCTTTTTTTTTTTTTTTAAGATTCTATTGATTTTTTTGACAGGTAAAGTTATAGACAGTGAGAGGGAGAGACAGAGAAAGGTTTTCCATACACTGGTTCACTCCCCAGATGGCTGCAACAGCTGGAATTGGGCTGATCTATAGCCAGGAGACAGGAGTCTCCTCTGGGTCTCCCATGCAGGTGGAGGGGTCCAAGCACTTGGGCCATCTTCTCCTGCCTTCCCAGACCATCAGCAGAGGGCTGAATTGGAAGAGGAGCAGTGGGACTAGAATGGGCACCCATGTTGGGTGCCAGCTCTGTAGGCAGAGGATTAACCTACTGGGCTACAGTGCTGTACCCTCCCCTCCCCATTTTTTAAGATTTTATTTATTTATTCATCAGTTTCTGCTCGCCTCCCCCCAGCAAACACTCCCACCCTGCCCTGGCCAGCCTTGCCTTCCACACTCAGCAATAACAAATGATGGATGCTGCGGAATCTTCCCTATGAATTCTGAACTTTGACTGGGGCACTGAGGATGAGGTTTAAACAGGCCCTGAGTACAATCCAGTGATTTCTGCGACCCATCCTCCTCTGATCTACTGGGTCTTGGTTAGTGTCTGGGTGGAAGGCAGGTCTGATGGACTTCTCCCCAGCTGGGAGGTTAGCGTGCCAACACTGGCCACCATCTGTGTCATTTCTTGCTGACAGAAAAAACTCTAGTTCTGGACTGTGTTCTTGCAAAAGCAAGGAAAGTAACGTTTACATGCATAGGATACCTACTAGTTCTAGGTTTGTACCTTGAGCCAGGATTTGTATTTCTGTTTTCTTCCTTACTACCTTCTTCATCTGTTGATTTTGTTTCTGCACAAGTTAAAACACGACAAACACACACACACACACACACGCTCTCAACCAAAGGGGCAAAGGAGAAAGTGATATTTTTAGATATTTATCTATTTGAAAGGCAGAGTAACAGAGAGGCAGAAGCAGAGAGAGAGAGAGAAAGAGAGAGAGATCTTCCATCCACTGGTTCACTTCCCAAATGGCTGCAATGGCCAGAGCTGGGCAATTCTGAAGCCAGCAGCGAGAAGTTTCTTGGTCTCCCATGTAGGTGCAGAGGCCCAAGGACTTGGACCATCTTCCACTGCTTTCCCAGGCACATTTGCAGGAAGCTGGATCAGTAGTGAAGCAGCTGCTACTTGAGCTGGTGCCCATATGGGATGCCGGCACTGCTCTATGCCACAGTGCTGGCCCCGAGAGAAAGATTTAATTGGGTAAGTACAGGAATTGTCTGCAGCAAACTGTGTCAGACCAGTCAGGATCCCCCAGTGCAGCTGGGGGGATCTGATGAGCACACAGGGAATGTTGCACAGTCAGGAGGAGAGGGGATGTGGAGAAGCTGGGTTCAAGTCCTAACTCCATCACTAGTAGTGACATGGACTTGGATAAGACCCTTGGTTTCTCAGGGCCTTATTTCTGGTTTCTTCTGATAAAACAGAGTTGTTGTTGTTGTTTTTAAATTAAGAGCCACCTATTTTTGTAGCAAGGAAGACAGAAAAGGACAAGAAACCATTAACACGGATCGAAGAAATGAGACAACCACATCAGAGCGTGTGAGAACATCAGGGTCCAGTGTGACCGAAGACCACTCCCAAAGGTCAGAGAGCCCCGGAGAGCAGGAGAGGAAGGGGATGTTATTCAACATTACACGGGCTAAATAACCCCCTGTCCCATACTTCTTGATCTCTGATCTGTTTTAACATAACAGTTGGGACACAAAATTGGCTGGGAAGAGAGGAAAGTTCCGAGGCAGATGGAGTGACCATCTGGGCAGGTGGCCAGGGTTCAGTAGCTGCGCTCATCTCCAAACAGTGTGTGGGACATTTAGTCACGGAGACTGTGAACATTGTACCATCAGATAGGATGTGTTCCCACCTCACATGGTGTCTTCCATATGTCTCAAAATATTGACAGCCTTAAGAAATGATAGAAAGAGCAAATAGAAGGTGAAGAAGAGAGAGATTACGCAGGACAAACAAGAGCGATGGAGGCCAGCTGTTCCCCATTCTTCCCCAGGACAGAGTTCCCTCCCGTGAACTGTCTCAGCACATCAGCGCCACCTTGGATTGTGACTGTTTGTGTAGAAGGCTTATTTTCCATACTGAACTGTGAGTGTCTGAGGCTCAGGGCAGCCTCGTTCCTCTTTAGATCCCTCCAAGATGGGCCTTGAACTTAATGGAAGCGCAGAGCCCGAGTATGGAAGCGCAGAGCCCGAGTACGGAAAGCATAGGAGTGCTGGAAACAACAGTGGTGGAGATATAAATCACATAGATTTAAGGACCATTGTCTTGAGTGTTGTCAAATCAGAGAATAATTTACTGAAGGTTATATCTTCTCTCTCTGTCTCTCTAGAGGTCTAAAAAAAAAAAAGAAAAGAAAAACATTCTCATCAAGTTGAAATTATTTAAATATGGTCTTGTGTGTGGCCGGAGGAAGTCAGCACCTCTCAGGATTCCGTCCAGGGTTCTGTGCTCTTGGTCTGTGATGAGAAACACCAGCTTCAACTTTTCTCTCCTTCATTCTCGCTCTTCCTCTCTGTCAGCCATGTTGGAATCCACCTGAGAGCGAGCACTAAATGGTAGGATTTCTGCATCTTGTCTCCTCTGAGAGTCTCCTGGTACCTAAAGGAGAGATGTGGGCTTGGGCTGATCCACCGCAGCAAGGCCCACCCCACTCTGAGGCTGTGACAGGCCTGTGACAGGACCATGCACTTAGGAGGGAATCAGATGGTGAGGCTGCCTCCTTCATCGGGCCTTGGAAAGTGGAGGCCATCAGTAATGTGCGTGTTTGTTGGACACACGATTTTCTGCAAATCTAACTTCAGCACGAGCGTCTTTAAAAGGCATCCATTCTTTCTCGATGGTCATTGGGTGTAGCCTTGCCTGCCAGCAATCCCATGCAGAGGGCAAGGGCGCTCCCCTCTCTCCCACTCCAAACCTACGGTACTCAGTGAAACCAGAGACGTTTTTGACAAGGGAACCGCATTCTTCCATTAAACAGTAAAATCGTGTTTCTCTATTTGAAAGGGACTTCGCTTCTTCAGTCTAATTTTCAAACAGTGTTGGACTAAGATGGTCAGGACCCTTGAAACTGCATCTGAGTTGTTGATTTCTCATTTCATCCGGGCTCTAGGGATTTCCTTTTGAAAAAAAAAAAAAAAAAAAAGAGATGGTAAAGGGGAGAGAACTGTTGATGTTTTCACAAGACCAGGTTCTTCGGGAAGGAAAAGAGAACAGTGGTTCAACACTGGCCTAAACTGGGTTGAGCCCTCACTGTGGCTCATGAACTGTTTTTTGTTGTTGTTTGTTTGTTTGTTGTTGTTGTTGTTGTTGACAGGCAGAGTGGACAGTGAGAGAGAGACAGAGAGAAAGGTCTTCCTTTACCGTTGGTTCACCCTCCAATGGCCACCGCGGCTGGCGCGCTGCGGCCGGCACATTGCGCTGATCCGAAGGCAGGAGCCAGGTGCTTCTCCTGGTCTCCCATGGGGTGCAGGGCCCAAGCACCTGGGCCATCCTCCACTGCACTCCCGGACCACAGCAGAGAGCTACACTGGAAGAGGGCCTACCAAGACAGAATCTGGCACCCCGACCGGGACTAGAACCCGGTGTGCCGGCGCCGCAAGGCGGAGGATTAGCCTAGTGAGCCGCAACACTGGCTATGAACTGGTTTTGGAAGTTGGGAGGAGCATCTGCATTTCACCCATTACCATGTGACCCCAGTCTCCAGGGGAGAAAGCAGTGAACACGTTGGAGGTAAACCTCCGGAAAGCAATAAGCCACTCGGAGGGAGTTACATTACATCACCAAAGGGCGGGTTACTCAACTGAGAATATTCTGGGAGTTCTGATAGCGTAGGCCTGTGCAGGCTCTCCAGGTGGTATCACTAACCCATATGTGGCTACTGAGCATTTGAAATGTGGCCATTCTGCACTGAAATGAGTTATGGGTATAAAATACATGCCACAATATCAAAGACAGTATAAATAAAGAAGGAAAAATAGCTTAGTGGTATTTTTCATTAATTATGTGTTGAAATGATAATATTTTGAATATACAAGGAGTCTTCAAAAACTTCACAGAGGGGTTGGTGCTGTGGAATAGTGGGCTAAGCCTCCACCTGCAGTGCTGGCATACCATATGGGCACTGGTTTGGGTCCTGGCTGCTCCTCTTCTGAACCAGGTCCCTGCTAATGTGCCTGAGAAAAGCGCTGGAAGACAGCCCAAGTGCTTCGGCTCCTGATCCCATATGGGAGACCTAGAAGAAGCTACTGGCTCTGACTTTGGATAGGCCCAACTCTGGCCATTGCAGCCATCTGGGGAGTGAACCAGCAGATGGAAGACCTTTCTCTCTGTGTTTCCCTCTCTCTGAACTCTACCACTCAAATAAATCAATAAATAACTCTTAAAAAAAACTTGATAGAAAACACATATTATGGAAAACTATGGGTGGATTTCCAGTTTTTTCATCAAAATAAACTTTTAATTTCACTTTCTATAAACTTTTTAAAAAATTGATTTATTTATTCTTGAAGTGGGGGGAGGAGAAAGAGGGGGAGGGAGGTTGGGACAGGTCAAAGCCTGGAACGTAGAAATTTATTTGGATTTCCCATGTGGGTGGCAGGGACCAAGTACTTGAGCCACCATTTGTGGTAGGCAACCTAGAGTTGTGGGGATAGAGACTCCCAAATTATGTTGTGCAGACCAAAAGCCCTGATTGGACTCAGAAACACCCCCAGCTGGACTTAGTTCAGATCTTTGACTTCCTGTGTATAAGAATGCAACCAGGGGATGTAGATAGAGGTGAACAGAAAAGTAAGATTTTTTTGAAAGGCAAAAGGATAGTATAGAGTCAAAATCAAAATGGAGTGAATGTGGCTAAAAGTTAATTGCAGACCTCTTGCTTCTGTACATATTAGCTTTGCTTGCTAATGGCTAAGGGTGCATCTTGTAAAACTGTGGGCCCAAATTCCCAGGAACAAAGTTGACAGAAATGTGTCCTTCACTGTTATCTTACAACCATATCTTGGATCTGTTATTGGGCTTGTTATTGTTATCTTGCAATCATATTCTGGTTTTTTTATTGTTCACTGCATACCAAGGGTCCAGTTCGAAATTGTGAGCCCTAGTGAACAGGAACACTATAAAAACCTGTGTAACCTGCTGTTGGGGGCCGCACTCTGGTAACGAGTGTTGGTCCCGATCGGTTACCTTGCCTCTCATTTGCATCTCATTTTCAATAAAATTCATGCATGACTGTCACTGGTTTTTGTAATATTCTATTTTAGCTGACAAGTGGATGCACAATAGTACGTACTCAACATGAGTGTGGGCAACCTCATGAGGGAGAATTGCCCCCACCTTGATGGGTCATCCTTTTTTAGAGTAGGGGTTGTGCTCGGGGCAGGGTCTGCATGAAGATCCAAGGGAGACAGGGTTTGGGGAGGGGCTGCAGTGCACCTGGGGGACTCCCAGGAAGGTGTTATGGTGCATATTGGAAACTGAAGCTTAGCTGAATGATAAGGAGTGGGTGTGTCTGTTCTTCCTGGCTCCTGGTTTTGACCTGGCCCTGCTCTGGCTGTTGTGGCCATTTGGGGAATGAACCAAGGGGTGGAAGCTCTCTCTGTGTCTCTCCCTTACAGATAAATCAATCAATCAATCAATCTTAAAAAAAAAAAGAGAGAGAGAGAGAATAAAATCCCGATTAGGCAGAGCAAGTAAGGAAGTGTATGGTGTCTCAATGACTGGGTCTAGAAATTCAAACAACTACCCACTCTGTGTGTCCACCCTGCCGCCTCCACCCTTCCCGGCAGTTTCACCTGCTCTGACTTCATTCTCAGAGTGGCATTCTGCTTGCTCTGGAGAGACGGGCCCTGCTGGGTCAGGTGTATGTAATGTGTGTAGACGAGAGAGGAGAGAAAGTGGGAGAGAGTGTGCACTCATTCCCCACTAGATTCACCACTGTGTTCAGGAGGGATTAATCCAATTGGTTCACCCAACAAAACCCATGAATTGGGAAAGAGAAGAGCTAATTTCCCACTGACAGAGAAACAAAACAAAACAAAGATTATGTCTGTGTGTCTGTCTGTGTACTATCTACCCACGTACTTACTGACATTTTTATGTATTTGGCAAAATAAACTATTGGGAGGGATGGGAGTAGAGCAAAGTGTCTAATACTCTGTACCTTAGTAATGAAGTGTCATTGCAAATGCAAGGGCAAGGCCAAAGCCAGGTTAATAGGATAGCTATCCTTGCCTTAATGTGACATTCGACCTTGTTTTCACCAAGAAAAAATATTATGGCTGCCCGAGGTGTGCCTCTCTCTTCATAGTTGACATTTCTAGTAAGGAAAGCAGTCGGACCTCTCTCTGCCGTGGAGAGTGAACTAGACATGGAGTCTCCACATCCACTCTGGCTCGTGAGTTGAGGCTCCATCCTCTCCCCATCTAACCAAGAGAGCCGCCCGACTTCTTAGCTAGGGCTGGAGTAGCTGCTGGATCTTGCAAGAAGCAGGATGGATTCAGGAGCAGGAGCTCCTCTTCCTCTGGGATAGAGAAGGGTCACCTCTCCCTAAGGAAGGATGGTGATGGTACGAGACTGATGGACTTAGGAATGGACCGCAATTGGGGTGGAGGTGCAGGATTTTTAAAAAGATCATCCAGGAGAGAGAGAATACTTTCAGGAAGCACTCTTGTTGCAAAGATCCAAGTCCAGCAGGGCCTTCTGTTGTGGTACAAGGGAACAACAACATTAGCTGGCATTCTTGTTTGTGTTTTTCATGCACTATATACTACAGTTTCAAGATGTACCAAACCCTACAGTGGCTACATTGTTCCTGGACTTGGCAAGGTTTGGAAAAGGGAGGGCTGTATCTGCCTTTATTCTCTGTAGGGGATCTGGTGGAACAGGGTGTCAGCCCTCAGCTGAAGGAAATGTGGAGACTCATGTGGTTGAATGGCCAAGAATGTTTCCAAAGCACAAGAGACAATGCAGATTAACTCACTGATCTACACTTCTTTTCTTTTTTAAAGATTTATTTGAAAGGCAGAATTATATATATAGAGAGAGACAGAGAGAGGGATCTTACATCTGCTGGTTCACTCCCCAAATGGCTGCAATGGCCAGGGCTGGGCCAGGCTGAACCCAGGAGCCAGGAGCTTCTTCTGGGTCTCACACATGTGTGGCAGAGGCCCAAGCAGCTGGATCAGAATCAGAGCAGCCAGGACTCGAACCTATGACCTTATGGGATGCCGGTGCTGCAGGCAGTGGCTTTACCCACTACACTGCATCACCAGCCTCTACATTTCTTTTCTGAAGAAGGAGTTGATAAGATGTATCTTTGGATAAGTAAGGATTTCAACAGTTTGCACCCCCATAGAAACACAAAGTGAAATATATTGTTTGAGTACTCGTTATAGCATTAAATCTCAATGTACAGCACATTAAGGACAGAGATCCTACATGAGGAGTAAGTGCACAGTGACTCCTGTTGTTGACTTTACCAATTGACACTCCTGTCTATGGCATCAGTAATCTCCCTATGCTCCAGTCATGAGTTTCCAAGGCTATGGAAGCCCTCTGAGTTCTCCGACTCTTATCTTGTTTAGACAAGGTCATAGCCACAGTGGAGGTTCTCTCCTCCCTTCAGAGAAAGGTACCTCCTTCTTTGATGACCTGTTCTTTCCACTGGGATCTCACTCACAGAGATCTTTTGCCAGAGTGTCTTGGCTTTCCATGCCTGAAATACTCTCATGAGCTTTTCAGCCAGCTCCGAATGCCTTTAGGGCTGATTCTGAGGCCAGAGTGCTATTTAGGACATCTGCCATTCTATGAGTCTGCTGAGTATCTCACTTCCCATGTTGGATCACTCTCCCCTTTATTTACTCCATCGGTTAGCATTAGCAGGTACTAGACTTGTCTATGTGCTCCCTTTGACTCCCAGTCCCTCCCCCATGACCAACTGTGAACTGAAATTGATCACCTGGAACAGTGAGATGGCATTGGTACATGCCACCTCGATGGGATTGAATTGGAATCCCCTGGTATGCTTCCAACTCCACCACTTGGGGCAAGTCAGCCTGAGCATGTCCCAAATTATACATCTCTTCCCTCTCCCATTCCCACTCCCATGTTCAACAGGGATCACATTTCAGTTAATTTTCAACACTTAAGAATAACTGTGCATCAATTACAGAACTAAACCAGTCATATTAAGTAGAACAGATAAAAAAACTACTAAGAGGGATAATGTATTAAGTTGTTCATTAACAGTCAGGGCTATGCTGATCAAGCCACCGTTTCCCATAGTGTCCACCTCACTCCAACAGGTTTCCCTCTTGGTGTTCAGTCAGTCGTCACCGATCAGGGAGAACATATGGTATTTGTCCCTTTGGGACTGGCTTACTTCACTCAGCATGATGTGTTCCAGATTCCTCCATTTTGTTGCAAATGACTAGATTTCATTGTTTCTATGGGGGTGCAAACTGTTGAAATCCTTACTTAATGCATACTAAACTGATCCTCTGTAAAAAAAAAAAAATTATCAATTCCCAACTTGACTCTCACTGGGATTAAACATGACAATAGGTCTGCTCTGATTTCATCATCATTTAAAAAAAAATCATCTATTATTTCTCACTTTATGTTTCTGTGTGGGAGCAAACTGTTGAAATCCATACTTAATGTTTCCTAAGCTGATCTTCTGTATATTAAGATAATCGAAAATGAATCTTGATGTGAATGGAAGGGGAGAGGGAGTGGGAAAGGGGAGGGTTGTGGGTGGGAGGGACGGTATGGGGGGGAAGCCATTGTAATCCATAAGTCGTACTTTGGAAATTTATATTCATTAAATAAAAGTTAAAAAAAAAACCCACAAAAAAAAAAGATGTATCTTTGGATAAAGAAAGGAGATATCTTGACATCTCCACACACACAATGTGTGTCCCCTGACAGTGCCAAGATCTCTGTAGACACTCACCTTGCACATCTATAGTCACCTGGATTTATTTCAAGCTTTTTGTAACAACCAACCAGTATCCAGCCAAGAGGAGTGAGGGCTGATATTTTGAACTTTGAGGGCCTTCAGTGGCAAAGGATCTCAGCCCTCACTCAGGTGCTTTACAAACTGGGTGAACGGCACCTCGCACACACACTCCCCTTGGTCTTCCCCAGGATTCTCCCGGCTCCTAAGAAAATAAAGAAGCCAAGGTGGTTCCAATGGAATTTGGGGTGTAGAATATTTGCTTCCCTCCAAAAGATTATCTTCAGCAAGAACAGGCTGCCCTCTTTCCTTTGGAATCTCCAAATTTACCGTGAGAATAGAAAGAGAGTGATGATCACAGTTTATTGTAAAGGCAAGTCACCTATCCTACCCTTCTGCCTGGTTTTAGTTTTATCCTGAGCAAGCCAGACAGGATAAGAATTGTAAATCAGGTCTTTGATGGGTTTGTCCCCACTTGGCAACTGAGTGCCAATCTGATTGTCAAGGTTATTTTTTTTTCCTTCTTCAAAATTGTACTTAAAAACCCCAGTGCTGGCCGGCACCGCAGCTCACTAGGCTAATCCTCGCCTTGTGGCGCTGGCACACCGGTTTCTAGTCCCAGTCAGGGCGCCGGATTCTGTCCCGGTTGCCCCTCTTCCAGGCCAGCTCTCTGCTGTGGCCAAGCAGAGTGCAGTGGAGGATGGCCCAAGTACTTGGGCCCTGCACCCCATGGGAGACCAGGAGGAAACACCTGGCTCCTGCCATCGGATCAGCGCGGTGCGCCGGCCACAGCGTGCCGGCCATGGCGGCCATTGGAGGGTGAACCAACAGCAAAGGAAGACCTTTCTCTCTGTCTCTCTCTCTCACTGTCCACTCTGCCTGTCAAAAATAAAACAAAACAAAAACAAAAAAACACTGCTACGGGGCCCTTGGGGTTTTTTCCTTTCTTGGAAGTCCCTCTTCATGCTGCCCTAGCTGGAAGTCTTTTACTCTAATAAATCTTTTTAAATCTCAAGAAAAAAAATAAAGATGACATATTTAGACTGCAAAAAGTATCAAAAAGACACAAATAATGATATACTTTGTATAAAAAGCAACCTTTGCCTCTAAAGCTGATATTTCACCTCTTAATCTGATTGTGTAGAACACAGTTCTTAGACTAACACAGGACATGATAAAACACAGAACAATGTGCTTTGTAAAATAGATGATTGCAAAATACTTTGAATGCATGAAGTATTATATGGACTCTTAATGATCACAGCAATTATTTTACAAC